GATCACTGGTATCTAAGTCTTCCGCTGTGTTATCTTGTACTTTGTATTGAAAGGTCGGTTCTTGTTCTGGTATGCACGTTACAGTATGCAACAGTTTGGTATCGGAGCGKACCTCTCATTCAGAGGACCCGCTCAATCAAGTAGCCAGCTTGCGATCTATTGATCACTCATTAGTAACGCAAGTAGGACTTAGTCAAATCTCTGAAATTTTTTTCTCGCAACAACTATCTGAAATTTCTGATATTCGCATGTTCATTCTATCTGAAAATTTCTAATATTAGTAGTTCGTTTTTACGTGACAAATATCTGAAAATTTTTGATAAATCGCATTTCGTTTTGTCTGAAAATTCCCGATAGTGGCAATTCGTTTCTCTGATATTTCGCATACATAGCTGAAATTTCTGAAGTTAGTATTTTCGTTCTCTAGGCATATTGGGATAACGATAGAAGTGGTCATATTCTCGGAAACTGAAATTATTCTTTTCTGAAAATCGAATTTCCATTCTATCTCGCAAAGTTTTTTTTTGAAAACCGAAAACTTCCGAAGCCTACCAATACTGCGTTAGGCATATTCGGAGGTTGCATATTCTCAGAAACTGGATTTCGTTCTTTTCTGAAAATCGCATCTTTACTCCATTTCGCAAAAAAAAAACTCAAGATCGCAGTTTGTAAAAGCCGAAACTTTGCAGAACCTAGCCTAGATCTCGTTCATAGTACTCTTCTGACATGTCCTACTCATAATAGATCGACAGATATACAAAAAAAAGTTTCCTACCTGCGTTTTCCCTCCCACCCACCCCTTGCATGCATTTCCAGGTTGCCACAGTGACACGTCAGCAGTGCCACGTCAGACACAGTGACACGTCAGCTACAGTGACACGTCAGCAGACCACGTCACACAGTGACACGTCAGCAGTGCCACGTCAGACACAGTGACACGTCAGCTACAGTGACATGTCAGCAGGCCACGTCACACAGTGACACGTCAGCTACAGTGACACATCAGCAGTACCACGTCAGACAGTGCCACGTAAGCAGTGCCACATCAGCAGTGCCACATCAGACAGTGCCACGTCAGACAAAGTGCCACGTCAGCAGTGCCACGTCAGCAACATGACGGGCCTGCCAGGCCAACAGGCCAATGAGCCCATTGCCGACTACAAAAAGCGCTTCCATGCTCAGCTCGCTCTAATCGAGGCTGAGGAACAACGCCAGCTGGCAGCCAAGGCTGCCCAGCTACAGGCTGAAGAAGCGGCAACAGCAGAGAAGCTGCGGCTACAGGCCGAAGCAGACGCAGATGCCCAGGTTCGCAGAAAGGAAGCCCAGGGTCTGCTGCAGCGGCATGAAGCCAACAGCATCGAGAAACTCAAGTTCTGGCACTTTGAACCGAACGGCGACGAGCCAACACCGGAAGAACAGCATAAGGAGTTCATGGCCAAGCTCGTGAGCAGGTTGGTTTACACGTGTAACCACCTACAGTCCGAGCTGGCAAACCTCCAGCGGGCTGTGCGGAATCATAAGACTCAGCACGAGGATGCCACACGGGCACTGGACGCCCGTGTACTCGGCCTGGAACAGGCTGTACCAGGACCAGATACTGGGGCTTCCAGCAGTGCATCCTCTAGCCGCCAACTGGAGGAACGCGCTGACCACGTAGTGGAAATACTCAGCGACATCAGCACCTTTGCTGCGCCGACCACCATCAGCAGTCAGCTGCATACCTTGAAGACCGAGGTCCAGCAGTTGCAGTCGACGAACGCGGATGACAATCCGAAGATGTACAAGATGCCAACTTTCCAACTAACCAAGTTCAACGACTACACGCAGCAGGATCCGGTCCTCTCCAGGGAGGCATTCACGACGCAACTCAGGATTCTGACTGTCGCCAAGCACACGTACATCGGCGCCCTGTTCCTGAACTCAAAGGGCGGATGCGAGACCTGGTTGAGCCACCTAGCAACCTCCCATTGCGTCGACGTACCGGACTTGAAGGACAAAATCACATGGGATGAATTGACACGGCTGTGGAAGAAACGGTTCATCGTCGACGACGAGCCGGCACTCGCCATCAACCACCTGTGACATGGCTGACTGCAACACGGGATTGGCTCACGGAGTGGCAGAAGATTGCGGCGGTGCCCAATCAAGAATTGGCATTCACGCATCTACGCCGTGAGTTCTACAACAGGTCCTGTGCGGCATTGAGCCAGGCTCTTGGTGATCGCGAGCAATACTCAACCTTCGCTGAGATCATTGACAAGGCGAGGGAGATCATCAAGACCTACAGGTCATCTGCAAACGAGAAATCAACATGGCAATCGACCTATATGGAGAAGGTACGAACTGGTCCGCGATAGCAGCACTTCGCTGCAGTCCGGTCGGACAATGGAGATAACCCAGCAGCCACTCCAGCATCAAGTGACGGAGATCAGGTGGCTGCTGTCCAGCCACGAAGCAACAACAAGTCCCGCAACAATGGGAAGGCGAAATCCGCATCGCAGGCCGGAAATGGACAGCCACTACAAGTTCCATGGGTCAAGTTCGGCTTGACCGAGGCGGAGTACAAGGTCCACGGCCGCTACAGCAGCTGCTATTGGTGCAACAGCACCAAGCACGAGACCTCCCTGTGCCAAGATCAGGGCAAGGAGGATGTGCGACCCCGCCTCAGCTCAGGAAACTCAGCTCCGCGGAAGGTGAGGCGACTCCACCTTCTACTTCGCCAGATTCGGCCGCCTTGCTAGCGGCCTCCTGCACATCTGGGGAAAACGCGAATGTCGCAAGTTCTCGTTACACTTACGAGGACTATGCTGTCCACTTCGTTCCACCGCTGGACCAACCGCTCCACGTGCAACAATCTACCCCATGCACGGTTTCATCACCATCGGCAACCGATTCGGCAGCTTCGCCGCCATCTATCGCCGGGGATTCATCGTCGTGGTCAAGACTTGAGGTGCTCGACCCACCGACGTTCACGGACTTCAAGTGGATGCCCGTTCCCCCGACCGGACAATTGCCGAAACTGCATTGCAATGTGCTCATGGCACAACTGCGAGATTACTTGCACACTGCAATACCGACTCCGTTGATGGACGCCGGAGTAGAGGTTGTCGACCTTCACATCTACATTGAGAAGATCGACCACGAGTTCCAGATGCAACGGTACGACGACATCGACGCACCATTGCTATATGTACGCATTCAAATCGGGGAAGCGACCTGCAGCACTCTGATCGATTGCGGAGCATCTAGCAACTACATCAGCCAGGACTTCATGGTGCGCGCCGGCCTTGGCCCACGCGTCCGGAGGAAGCCCTTACCTACGCAAGTCACACTCGCAGACGGTCACACGCACAAGTCAATCGACCGGTGCTTTGACAGCGTCCCAGTGTACTTTGCCCCTCACGCAAGTGAGGCGGTGTCCTTTGACATTCTGGACACCAAATTCGACATGATCTTGGGCATGTCATGGCTGCGAAGCAAGGATCACCCGGTGAACTTCTTCAACCGCACCGTTCACGTTCGTGACCGGAACGGAGTATTAGTTCCATGCACGGTGCCTCTTCCTCATCCTTCGATCAGCTGCCACGTGGTATCCACCGCAAGCATGCGAGCTTCCATCATCAGAGACGACATCGAGG